CTTTTTGAACTCGGGTTGCATTAAGATGCTTTTCATGTTCTGTATATCTATACATGCGAACATTGCGGGAACTATAATTTGTGCAGTATCACAACAAAAGCAAGTCAAAAGAACCATGACAGAGTGCTGCTGGGAGGAGGGGAACAGCGGGTGTAGACTACTGCAACGTGTGGCCATCACGGACAAGTTACGTAAAAACTGTATATAAAACAGCGTTTTTTAAATATTGTGTACCATTCTTCTAAACTTTCTGGCGCCAACTGTAAAAAAAAAAAGGGTTTTTTTTTTTTTTTACTAATGCATGTTTAATTTTTGGTTATGCCGAAATATTGATATGAGGCTCGATTGATTTGTGTCCCGGCAAGAATAACGCAGTTTCATCTAAGACATTTAGGACTTTTACTCTGTTTATAGGTACTGCAAGCGTATTTTGATATATATAAATATAATAGAGACAGAGAGATATCCAAATACTACATCCAAAAATATTGTAACGAGGAAATTAACCACTGGATGCTTTTTCAAAAGGTTTAATAATTATAAGTAACCTTTTTTTTTTTGTCCTCTCGACAGCTACAAACTCTGGATATTTAGAATTTAGTTGAGCTCATTGAACAAGGTTTTTAACAGCCTACATCTATTAGTAACGTAGAATAAGAATAACCCCGACCTCCCCCCCCCCCCCCCCCCCCAAGCAACAAAAAAATCCGACACTTTTTTAAATCTGAAATTCTGGATAAACCCTTGCATCCACCGACTAGGCTTGTGGCCGCCGCCATTTTGTTTTCTACAGAGCGGAGCGGGCGCAATCTGGCGATAGAAAGAGCCACTTCCGGAACTCTTTTCATAGAGGATGTGAGAAAGCTCGGACGACATCGGTTTGCACAGTGTCGCGGACTGTTGTAACATTTCTGAAGGACGGAAAAGCGCACTCTGCGATTTCAGATAAGGCTTAGGCGGTAACAACAATTGTAAGCAAGAAGATGGCCGGAGTGTCGTTGCTCTGAAGCGTATTTGGTGGCTCTAGACCTTCTTCATGTACTGCCGTCCCCAGCCACCGAATAGGCGTATCCGGTATGGGCGCTTCAACTTGTAAAGATTTTTAAAAAAAAGTAGAGGGGAAACAAAACAAGAATGTGTGATGGTTACGCTTACATCCTAAACGTCTTCTACTGCAGCGTGACGACGGCAAAACAATCTTTTCGCCCATACTGGAAGTGACGACAATTCAAGATGGCGACTCGCTTGTGAAACGGGTCTATGAATCCGGCTAAAGCCACTGGATCTTACGAAAGTATAGCGCCATTGCCTTCCTGCATGCCTGTTAGTCAGACACAACCAGAGACTAACATACAGTCGAGCAAACCTCGCAAGGTGATTGGCTGGTCGGTTCAGCTGCCGCGGCAACCGCCATGTCGGTCCATTCAAATCTTCGAAGCTTTGAGAGGGTCGTTTGAAGCAGTCGCGCCAAGATCGCTATGGATTGGAGCCTCATCGTGTATTGAAAGCGTTTTTCGCAAATGTAAGCATCCCTGGCACTGTGCATGAAACACACGTATCAATCAGACCTGTCTGAACAGATCTCTTAAAACGGTAGTGTTCTTCTTCAGTATTTAAAGGGAGAAAAATTAGTTCTTTAATGCCGCCAAGCAGCGACGTCGCATGTGGTGCAAAAATGTGCGCTTGTTTCGCTGGTGTCTGTATAGACGCTTTACACACGCGCCAAATTACAGCCGCCATTGCTGGCCTTCTCTTGTCTGACCGAGATGCCGAGCAACTGAAACGGTAGTTGACGATCCTCTACAAAGGCCGATGCTTTAGAGAAGGACACAGTTGAATCTAATATGGCAATAACCTGGCCTGCTATGGTAATGATGAAGTGAAATAAACGAAATAAAAGGAAGCAAAACTGAAGTTCAGTTATGGCGGCGTCCATGCACAGCTGCTGCAAAGCGTCTATATCAAAATCTCGGTATTCAAGAAATGTCTTCATAAAGGAGGGGATCGGTGGCAGAGTGGGCTAGCGCACACCAGCTCGGAGCATGTAGAGGGAAAGCTCGCGCTGCAGAAACCAGGGATCCTGGGTTCCGCGGCGTGACAAAGTACGATTTAATTTTTGAGGAAGTCACCAGACCACTATTCGCCTCCTCGACTAACTTGACTCCTACGGATACGGTACACTGTATACTCTGGTGTTTAACCGTCTCGGTGGCCAGCCGAGGCCCCAGTTGGTGCGTTCAAACATCGGCCGAAGTTTGTGTGAAGTTAAACGAACGCTTAGGATTATTGAGGTGAAGGTGCCTTAAAAATGATCTCGGTGCACGTTGAAAGACGCCCAGGTGGTAAACTTTGCCGGGACAAGCGCTTTTTGTTCCTCGACGCAACGCGGCAGCGGCGCCAATAGCGAAACTGGCTGATGAAATCAGTCTAATAATAATTGGGGCTGTGTGGATATTTATACAGCGTGTAGTTGGTCAGCCATTTCAATGTTGCGACGAGTCACTCGCTGTAGTTGAGCAATTTAGCCAGTGCAGTAGAACCGCAAGCCTGGGGTCTTTAACGTGCACCACGCAGTAGCGATATACGACCATATGATACTCATCCAGATCGAAACGGGCAGGGGTGGGGATTGAGGCCAGGATCCCTGGGTTCTGCAGCGAGAGCTTTCGCTCCACGTGCTCCGAGCTGGTGTGCGCCAGCCCACTCGGTCACTGATCCCCCAAATCACTCTAGCGACTAGGCCCATAGTAGACCTATAGAGAACCAAAAGAACGAGCGTGCGGTGACCACGAGCGATGTTCGTTAGTCACAAAAAACTAATTTCGCTGCTGTCTATAACCATGTTCGCTATAAAAGCACACGAAAACCTGAGTACCAACCTCATCGACATAATTGGATGGACATACCGGCAAGAATGTCTACTCATTTATGAAAATGCGAATCAAGAGCGAGCTGGTTCGAGCTCGTTCTAAAGACGTGCATTTCTAGCGCGACTGCTCGTTCTGCGGAAGAACGCTTTAAACCTCGAGCTCTCCCTTAGTAGCACAATTATGTCCTCAGGATGTCCTAACGTTCTAGGGTTGTCCTAGGGACGTTCACAGGACATTCGTGCTGCTTGGGTCCCGCGTGTGCCATTGGCTGCAGTATCAGCTTAAGCGTGAAAGGAGTATAGAGAGTCTTAGCACTCGACCGCTCCAGAAGCAAATACATCAACCAATCACTGATAAGCAGTTGTCACACCCGGTGGCCGACTCCAACCACCAGAATATGGTACCTTCCAGAGATCCTCCAGAATATGCATTTCATATGGGAGTGCAAAGCACTGGCCCAATCTCTGATCAAAACCCTCTGACATCTTCGAACGCTAGGCTGCCGAGCCGACGACATTAAAGCACAGCGCCCTTCCACGGGACCCCCGCCATATAAGAAATCTCTAACTTTACAAGAGATAGAGGGAAACTGGCGTCTGGCACAATAAGCGTTCACTTACAGGAGGCATCTTATATGGAGGGACAAGGTACAGGCTCACTCTTTGATCACGGCCCTAAGCGCTCCGACATCTTCATACGCTATAGGATGTCGAGTCGACGACATTTGAGCCATGTCACTTTCCCTGAGGAACCGCCGCCATATCAGAAAACTATCCTCTGCACCCTCTTCGACTATATACCTTCATGACACAGGTGTAAAGGGAAATTGGTGTCTGACACTGTACTAGAGTCCCCTCACAAGAGGCATTTCATATGGGAGGGCAAGGTACAGGTTCAGTCTTTGGCCAAAGCCCTTCGACATCTTCAGACTCTATAAGCTACCGAGTCAACGACATTGAACCATGGCGCCTTCCCAGAGGATCCCCTGCCAGATAATAAAACCGTCCCATCCACTTGATCTATGTCAATGACACGGGTGTAGAGACATACCTCTGTCCCTCTCAGAACGTATTCCAGGCATCGTCGCCATAAAAGACCTCCGCAGCCTTACTGACCTCCCGCTAAACGTTTTATTAACCAATGAATCGATTCAAAAGGAGGACCTTATGATAAATTTCTAACACCACCTTCCCGTTTTGAAACCTTGGGACTCCTCCATCCTGTTCCATATAGATGACGTCGGTCAAGTGGGCCAGTCGTACTGAGCCAACATCTTAGGAGTACACAAATACATGTCACAACTACAACTTAAACTTTCATGCTTTGTCGGTAGATGTGGCTGATTCTGGTGTGACCTTATGTTAAATTCCCTATTTCCGTGGTCAACAGGGTCGTTTATTAGTTTGCATGTGTGAGTGTGTGTGTGTGTGTGTGGGGGGGGGGGGGGGGGGGGGGAAGGAGGGGACCCAATGTTGTCACATGCCAATAAAAGATTCCCGAGCACCAGCAGATTCCCAGGTGCTCCTAGCAAACATTCGAGTGACACACATTAGCGTTTCACTGTGATGACGACACACGAAGTAACGAGAGTTATCAGGACATTCCTACTTCGTACAGCATACGAAGCACGGATGTTATAATAAATTATTGATGTGCCTCGACGTAAGCTAACGTACACGTTCAACCAGTAATGCATGTGGATGCAACGCTGTCAACATCCTGATCGTTTTAAAAAGCTGCCGCTGTGACTTACTACGGGGATGAGTTGGGCTAGTTGGTTATTATACATCACGGGTGGAACCACCTGAACAATGAAGGAAGGAGAAACAGAAAAGACAACCGACCGCTGTAGGGCGTACGGGTTGAGGAGGTTGAAATTAACGAAACAGGTGCTCATTTAACTAGAAAGATAACTTATTACGTGGATGAGTTGAGCTAGCCATAGAAAAAGCCGGCGATCGCTTGCTTATGCTAACAGTGCCGCAGTCTGTACTTTTTTTCTTCTTCTTTTATTCATGACGTTTCGGTGGAGGTGCGGGGTGTCGTTCACCCATCTGTTACGTTTCGCTTCGTTTGTTTTGATTCGACGCGTTCGCGGTCAGGCCAACGGACCCGCGGTCGAAAGCTTACTTTTCAGGGGCTTGGGGTTGGACTGCTTGCGACGTGACATTGAATCCTGGCCGCGCGTCAGGCAGCACCGAGCACGCGGCTGATCCACGGGAACACCGAAGAGCGCCGGCCGACCGGTACGCGCGGCGGCGTTCAACAAGCACGCTGGCGGTGACGACGGCCCGTCTTCTCGCCGCCGTCGGGGATGGCAAGCCGTCGACGCGCACCCGCGGCGGGGTACAACACACACACACGCACCACGTGGTCGCACCTCTCCGTCTCGTCGTCGTTCATGACGCTTCTTTCGCCCGGCACAATACACGCACACACGCGGTACACACACCGACGCAAAAGCGGCAACGCTTTTTCACCCGGTGGCGCCGAGTCACCGACTGAGGCGCGCGCGAGGAGTACGTTCTCCGGACGCTGCGGAGGAGAGAGGTGGAAAAAGGGAAAGGGGGAGGGTGGGCGTGGCGTAGGTGCGCCACCGCCTTCTGCGCCTGCGCAGTGCGCGTCGGTAGGCTTTGGCGTGTCGCGAGGGAAATTTAAAGGGGGGAAAAGGAAAAGAGGCGCTTGTTTTGAACCAAAAGTGGAGTTTTGATACAGCGACCAGATTTTAGGGGGAGAGGGTGGGGGAGGGGGTTATCCCAAATTTGTGACGTCATGCATGGTATCCGTCCCGTTGCGATTGAGTGTGTTCCGCAATGAATTCAAGAGATGGCAGACTTGTACGTCAGGCGTTACACCTAGCGCGTTACCGGCACCTATACTCGTTTTCACCTCGAGAACGGTAGTAAAATAATAATAATAATGATATTAAGTCTGGCTCCTCGCGGATCCTTACTAATTTCCCTTTCTACGTAGAAATTGCGGTATGTGTAGGTGCATTTTAGATTAGATAAGTATATCTTATCAAGATCTGCACGTTTCGAAGGCCAAACGCATCGTTTCTTCCTCCGACAAGCAAATATTGTAAGGACTATTTCGCGCGGCGGATGAACACTGCGCAAAACTTCCTTTTTTTTTCGTTCTTGACGTAAAAACGAGTATAGCTACTTTTTTCTTCGTAACGAACTAACGACCTTTTTACTTTTGAAACGAAGAAACCACTTACGTATTTTTGTAACTTTTTGATGAATTAACGAATAGCGGTTCTTAGTTAAAGAACAACTCGGCTTCATTTTTTTGTTTTTTTGAAAAATAACAACAACAAAAAGGCAATGCAGTCCTTTTCGGCATTACCTAGGAAGATTACACGTCAAATATTACGATCTAGTTCTGTTTAAATGTTTCTTAAACGGTCCGGCAAACTTTGCAACTCGCCAAATTGCCAAAATCCGCTGAGTCGAGCGGGCAGATTGAGGAACAACCAACAGAGCAGACAAGGCTACGGCGTGGGCGTAGCCAACATTGAGCTAAACGTCATCATAGTTGCCCCCTTTTGCTTGCTTTTTTTACTTCTCCGGGCAAGCGTAGCGGGTGACGTCAGTCACGTTTCCGCTCTTCACAACCGCAGTCGTCGCATCGCCGTTTGTGGTTATTGTGTCTCGGAGTTTCGTTCCACACTACGGACACCTCATGTGCAAACTTATGCCGCAGTTGTGCAGACGTCGTCGAATGTCGTGGGCACCAAAACGTGGTGAAGAGTGCGGTGCAGACGACACGTGCGCCTGGCAGACGCCCGCCCTAATCCCGCCTGTCGTCGCGTAGCGGATCACGTGACATCTCGTGTCACGTGATAGCCATGTTCTGGATGGATGGATGGATGGATGGATGGTAATGGCTATATCCTTTATAACGGGCGGCAGCTTGCGCCACCTAGCCTAACTTGGTGGCCCGAGACCAACGTTGCCAGACGGAGCCGAAGTTTCGGTTTCAATTTCTACTCGTGTTTAAAAAATTATGTATAATTATATATCCCATCTTCCGCGAAGCGAGTGACGTAGCGTCTTTTATTAGTGCTTTTAATGTAATGTCACTCATTATACTAAAATCTTCGGACTTAGCGGAGTTGCCCTTCAACTTCTGGAACATGCCTGTGCAACGTAAGTACCCAACCTAGTTTTCACCCCAGCTCGCGCATGTATTAGGGTTGTGCGAATATGCGGAATTTCGAATAGTAGTTTCGAATAATGCACTATTCGATATTCGCTTCGAGAAGAACTGCACTATTCGTGCTTTTCGAAGTGTTGATTGCGTCGGGTTAGCCCCGTTGAGTGCGCTTCTTGGCGAGCACCGGAGCACTGCGGAGAAGCAATACCCGCAAAAGCGAACTCCGCGGGTGATGCTTCTCTACATTACATCAGTGCTCGGTAAAAAGCACACTTAACGGGGTAACCTGCCGCGATAAACACTTGGAGAAGTATGAATTTCGCCATTGCGTGCTTGGAAGAAAAGAGTACATTCAAAGCGGGATGGTGCACGCGTGCCGTGTGCATTTGAAATAAATGGAAACTTTGTGAGTGTGTAGTTTTTACATTGTAGTAAAAGTTTCAAAATTAAACTCACTGCTATGCAAGAGTATACTATGTTGGGCAGAGATGCCCTTACAGCCTGTATTCATCATGCGGGATTCATTCTTTCTTAACTCGAGATTAAATAAAAAATATTTTATATAGCAAGATTCGTAAATTCACTCAATTGGGTATAGTTGGCCATCTCTATAGGATTCATTTTATGTCAAATCTGTCGTTTACTTGCCATCCCAAGACATCAGACCGTCTTAGTTCACAGTTCATAAATATAGATAGATTAAACTTAGCTTGTAAATAAACAAGTGGAACAACCTTCACAAGTTTAGCTAGGTTTTCATCTAAGCATTACGCAGTGGTAGTGAAAGGTGTGGAGAAACTATTCGATATTCGATTCGAATATATTCGGCCAAAACCACCATTCGCTTCGAATTCGCTTCGAGCTCAAAATCCACTATTCGCACAAGACTAGATGTATAATTTGGCAAGACGAGAAAACGCTATAGACCAAAAGACGATTTGCACAAGGTGTGCCAGTGTAGCCACAGTTCTCCCCGTATCAACGCGCTATAAAAAAAATTATTAACGACGAGAAATACTGGACGCAGCTACTGGTACGTAAAAACGACGCATTTGGAGCAGCGAGAAAATACCGCGTTGCTTTCGAGCTGAGGTAAGGCGTTCCTTTTTGAATCGCAATAAGGAGTAACGTACTTTGTTACTTTCTGAGTGAGTGACGCATAACGCCTTCGAGTTCATCGTTTTCAGTAACATGTATACGCCTGCAAGAAAGGGCGCCGAACTTAAAGCGAACTCAAACTAGTATGTTGTCGTTTCACGCACTGAGACTGGCAAAACTCTTGTTCGGTGGTTGCGCCAGCATTTTTAACCTATTATAGGTTTCTATTTTTGGGTTGTGAAATGATCTTTGCTCATCATTGTTGAGCTACGCGTAGTGGTGCTACAAGTTTTTGAGAGGCGGAGCTATCAAAAGAAATTAAGAACTGATTTTGTACGTGCCAGTGGGTGGATGGTTGTTGATGGATGGGGTTGATGGATTCATCAATATTTATATTTTTATTGAGTTTTGCGGAAACGCAAATCTGGAATGTTTTACCAGTGAAAAAGAAACTCGCGCGGAAAAAGAACACCAAAAAACCTGCACGTATGAGAAGTAAGAAACGGCACGAGTCTGTTTGCACCGTTAGACTGCATAGCCCCAAACAGCACATCCATCTTGGCCGACACGTCGACGCAATCAAACTAACCGGACTCCAATATTGCACCTAATATTGGAGCCCCCGATTCCCTCCCATTTTTCGACAATAATAGTACTAATATCAATGATTCAGGTTTCATTTCGTCACTATGCCAATATGTGCGATTGTTTTTTTTTTTTGATCAAACACCAATATCTGTCGGTACGCCGGGATTTCTAATATCGCCAATCCAATGATGCACCAATGTGTCCCACTATTGTAGCCCAATGACAGACCGGGTTTTTCAATATTGTAATTTTAATCATACGCCAAGTTTTTTCAATGTTTCCTAATTCTACATCCGACTAGGTGTTATCCAGGTATAGTTAACCACGTTTCCTGATAGTGAAATCCCGTGGCAGACGAAGCGTTTCAATATTGTTGCTCCACCTGTAACGGAGAGGTCCCGGGTTCGAAACCCGGACCAGGCCGATTTTTTCGGTCGCGCACCAGTCACCTAGATGTGTTTCGAGATTTGTGTTTGTCCTTTGTTCCTCTTGTTCCCCTTCTCCAGGGATTATTTTCATCATTTTCGTCATTGTTGCCCTATGACCGACCGGATTTTCAAATCATTAGTCAGCAATATTTGCCCACGATTTCCATCACTGGGGATCAACGTTAATTCTACCGCGAATACCAATAAAAGTGAGTGTTTTTTTTTTTTATGTGAGGGGGTAACGTTTGGAGCTGACGTGTGCTTTGGGTTTTTTAGTTTGTCCTTGGGTGGCTTTGTTCCTTAGTATGGTAGCTAAAAGAGCTAAATACTTTTTTGTGTTTTTTGACTTTTTTGTTTTTGGTTCTAGGACTATTTAAGGATGATTCCGACTAATATAACTTCAGCTGTTTTTTTTAGTTTTGTGTTTTCCGTACAGTTTTTCTCCCACTCCCGTGTTAGTAATATATATCAAATCATGGTCTCCTATTCTGAGTGTGCCTGAAAAAATAATTCAATTCAATTCAATGTTTATTTTCGCGTGCTTACCAATAGCTCCAAGGCCTTTGCGGTAAAGCACGAAGCATAAAATACATATATTCATCACAAATTTACATGCTTCAAATTATACACATTTTAAAACTTATACATATGCCTTACTTTTTTTTTTTTTTTATCGATACCACTATATCCTTTGGGAGATGTGGTAGGAAGGGGGGGTACATAATGTTTGTTTAAAGGCATACATTTCTAGTCATTTTTGCACACGTGAATAAGGCAATTAACGTCATCTTTATACAGTATTGAATAAAAATTAAAGCAAAAACAAAGAACAACAAAAAAACCTACAAGGAATACCGTCGATCGCAGGAGTCACAGAAACTGCGGAGGTTAGCAATGAGTGATGACTCAGATGAAGCATTTATTATATGACTGGGTAGGGCATTCCAGTCATGAATGGTCCCTGGGAAAAATGAGAACTTAAAGGGCAACTCCGGCCAAAACTCAAAATGAATTAAATCACTGGTATCGCTTTAGTGACACAAAATACGACCTCAGCCAAAATGTCACGTCCGTGGGACGCCGCATTCTCAACTAATGCCGATAATAAAAACGCGACCCGCCGCGAGCCGCTGCTCCTTAGCGGGCGGCCAGCGGGTTGCCGGTCGCTAAAGCAACATTGGGCCGTGATGTCAACATCGTTCTCTTTTTTTCTTTTTTTCCTCTCTTCCGGACGGGCGCACGGCGCAGCCGTCGC